CTCTCCCTCTTGACCACAGAGCCACCTCCAGGCATCACCTGCTGGCAAAATGAAAACCAACTAGACGACCTACGAGCACGTACGTACCCCTCGGGTGGGACTTCTCTATGTGTAAGGGGTGCATTAGAGTTCGCTGCTAGGTCTGGATTCCCTGGGTGGCAGGTACTTTATAGGCTGCATGGAAGCATGGAATTTAGGGAAAAGCTTGGGGGTTTTTTTGTTTTAATTTAAATTTATCTTGGCCTATGGCTCAGTCAATCTGCCTATGGCTTTGCTTGCTGTGGGGTGGAACTGGCTTCAGCTAAGGTGACTGTCTTCTGTTTATTTATTCCTGGATCTGAGCAGTGCTTGAGTTCTGTAACTGTAGGAGGTATGTGGAGACTGTTGGGCAAATTCCAGTGATTTTTTTGAATGTAATGTTTATGTCTTAATCTTGCTTTTATAGAAATTTTAGGAGGTGCAGACACGCCATATGAGAAAGGAATATTCAACCTGGAAATACTTGTTCCTGAAAGGTAAGTGGGCAACGACATTTACTGAAGCAGCTGGTGTAGCGCTTCCCCCAAATGCGAGTTAACTGATGTGAGAGATTCGATAGAAGTGCTGCCACTGTGGTCTTCCCTTTCACCTCCCAACAAAGAATGGGGGTGATTAGGTGAGACCCTTCATTTGTGGAATGTGATTATTATTTCCGTTGGCTGATACGCTTCATTTCACATTGGGCATCCCAAGATGTGCCATTAACAACCTAAAAGCGTTATGACAAGATCTCTACTTTATCACATTGTCTTAAAGCTTTCTGGAAAGGAGCTCTTTCAAGAGTAGAAAGTTTCCTATCACCTTTGCTGCTTTGGGGAAAGTGACCCAGGAAGGTGCTGGTCAGACACAGCTGAAAACACTGAAGGCAGAGCACTGCCTCCTCCAGACAGCTGTGGGGAAGGATGTGCCGTAAATGGCTGGGGGGAGGCAATGATGGCATTGCTTGGGTGACGAAGCAGCTGGCATACAAATACAAAAGTAATTTTGGTTTTGGTTCTTAACACTTACCCCTTAAAGATACCCGTTTGAGCCCCCGAAGATTCGCTTTCTGACCCCTATCTATCATCCTAACATTGACTCTGCTGGAAGGATTTGCCTGGATGTTCTTAAATTACCACCAAAGGTAAGATAGCGCTGCTTGGGCATGGGTAAGTGAGCCTGAAGAGGATAATGAGCTCCTTATCTTTTTCTTGTAAAAGCCTTATTGAATGTCTGTTGGCTACTGACTTATTTACACAGGAGCATGGGGTAAAGTTTTTGAGCGGCATCTCCTTTGTTTAGAGACTAGAACGTGACCTTCTCTGTTCCAGACAAGTTTCCAAGGTTTTAAGGATTGGAGTCAAAAGGCATTACGTGGCCCGGTGAAAACGGGGTGCCCTGATACCGGCCCAGCAGAGATGCGCAGGATATAGCCTGTGGTGGTTGGTCGGGCTTCCTCGGAGAGGGTCCGGTGTTTGCCGGGGGTTTAAATGCTGCAAGTCCTGAGGCAGCTTGTGGGCAGGTTGGGTTTAAATGCTCTAAGTCCTGAGGTTTCTCTAGGCAGCCCGTGGGCAGGTTTGGGGTGTGGTTTTTGGGGGTGTGTGTGTTTTGTTTTTTTTTTCCTTAACTGCTTTTCCCCCTCCCCCCCCACAATTTCCTTGAAGGGTGCGTGGAGGCCATCCTTGAACATCTCCACGCTGCTGACGTCCATACAGCTGCTGATGGCAGAGCCCAACCCCGATGACCCGCTCATGGCAGACATAGTATGTGAGCTCCTCTCCTGCAGCCCCGGGGAACAGGCTGGGAAGGGAGGGTGTGTTCGATTTAGGCTGTGCTTCCACTTCACTCACTCTGGATTAACACACACATTCCGTAGCGGTGTAGCTTGATCTGGATCAGGCCTGGGGGCACGGCTGCGTTTCCCTGAAGCAGCTGGGGCATGCGGCGCGGGCTTTATGAGTGAAAGAGGTGGTAAAGGTCTTGTCTTTAAGCCTGCCATTGTGGATGGCAGCGTGCATTCTTCAAGCACACAAAATTAATTTTATGCTTTGTGCCGCGGGCTTGGAGTGGTTTTGGTCTGGTTCTAGGAGCTCTAAAGCCAGACCTTAGTCCCAACATATTGGTGTAACGTTTGTATGAAATCAGCTCTCTGTCTTTGTCTTGCTCGTTACATTTAGTCCTCTGAGTACAAGTACAACAAGCAACTGTTCTTGCTGAATGCCAGAGAGTGGACTGAGAAACACGCGAGCCAGCAGAAGCGGGTAAGGAATGCGCTCCGCTTCCTGAGCCGAGAGCGGCTCCCTCTCTGTGAACGGCCCTTCCAGCCTCGATCTGCATTTCATGACCGCTTTGTGCAGCTCTCCTTGGCAGCGTTCTTCCTTTCCTCCCCTTCTGTTCTGTGGTTTGGATATGTATTTAATTTCATATTACTTTTTTAAGATAGTTAGATTCACTTCTTCCCAATAAATGGGTTCATTCACAAATAATCACAGTGCTTCTCAAAGGGAGGACGAGTAAGACCCAAGCTTGACAAAACCCCTCCCCAGGGATCCTGCAGCCCTGTTTCTCAGCTCCGTTCCTACCGGACTCCGCTGTGGTTGTGCCTTATGCTCAGCTGTGCCCGTTCTCCCCCTTCTCCTCCATTCCCTGACCGGTCTCCCTATTTCCCAGCCAAGTGCAGCCCTCCTAAACACGCGAGCCAGCAGAAGCGGGTAAGGAATGCGCTCCGCTTCCTGAG